TAATTTGACTTGTCATTCGAGGATAATTATTTATGGCATCAGGAAATAGAAGTGGACACTCTAGTCTGTCTCCAGGAAAGTCATCATTAGAGGCCACTTTGGAGAATGGGCTGTGTTAAAACCAGTGTGATCACACCCAAGACCCTGCTACTTTCTCAGTGTTTTGTGAGAAGGAAATAAGACAAAGCATTTAAAAATATTTTTTCATGTTCTTTGGAAAACCAATGTACCTTACATGTATGTCTCACATGTAGAGCCAGATGATGGTATTGAAAACAGTATATATGTTTTATATTTTATATATAAAATATTTTGCATATATTTCATAAGTGTTTTATATATTTTATATATAATATTATAAAGGTAAATATATAAAACATATAAACATAATATATAAATATATATTTATACAATTATGTAAATATTTCCATTAAATATGTTTCTATATTTAAATATATATTTATTCATATATATTTGAATATATATTTATATATAAGTATATAATAATATGTAAAACATACAAAATATAAAATATATCAGTATATTTTATGTTTATATATAATATATACTTTCATATTTTAATATTTTTATACTTTATATATTTAAAATTATATAATATACAAATATTATATATATATATAAAATTAAGAATACTATCACCAGAGTACCTAAGGGATTCTGAAAGATACAACTCACTATAGAATTATTTTCATAATCTTGCATCTATACTGTATGTATTTTCTAATCACATCATTTTAACTAGCTCTAAAAAGGCAAGAAAAATGCCTCCTTTGATTCTGTATTTCTTTCCATTTCATGGAAAGTGACAAGATTTTGAGGTGAGACTAGAAATAGAAAATATTACCTTTGGTAACCTGTGAAAATTTAGATTGATTAGGCCATATTATTTCAAAAACAGGCTTGAGACCAAAGTTACCCTGAGGAAGATTTTTTTTTCTGAAGGATGTTAAGTGTTTGTTTCTTCAGCCTCCAATACTAGAACCCAGACCATGGGGCTTTGATAGAGCTATCGTGTGAAGCAGATCATATACAATTAGTGGTCACTGCAGTGACTGGACCCAGATAAAAATTGATAGGATATGATAGTATATCCATAGTATATACGTAGTATATTAAGATGCTCAGAATGACTCTTTCAATCATACAATATCAGGTTAATGCCTGATAGTCATGGTCCTATAAAAGCATTTGTTGCTTGCACGGGTTCTCAGGGCACTTGTTTTTCCAAAATGATCTGAGGTCAATTCCTCATCTAAGATCCCTAAGTCATGTACTTCACACCCTGCCGTATTATAATTACATAGGCCATATGCATTTTTATCCAAAATAGTTAAATCCAGCACTGCCATGTATATACTAGGTAGTCAATTTGTGTTTGTTTGCCATTTTCATCATCTAGTATCACTGTCCAGAAATATAATGTGAGCCACATGTGTAATTTAAAATCTTCTCATAGTCACATTTTAAAAAACAACAAGAGGGCGCCTGGGTGGCTCAGTTGGTTGAGCGACTGCCTTCGGCTCAGGTCATGATCCTGGAGTCCCTGGATCTAGTCCCGCATCGGGGTCCCTGCTTGGCGAGGAGCCTGCTTCTCCCTCTAACCCTCCCCCCTCTCATGTACTCTCTCTCTCTCATTCTCTCATTCTCTCTCTCTCAAATAAATAAATAAAGCTTTAAAAAATAATAAAATCTTCTCATAGTCACATTTTAAAAAGCAACAAGAAATACGTTCTAATAATATATTAATTTTAATAATATATTTATTTACCAACAATATCTAAAACATTATTATTTCAACCTCTGACACAGCCTGCATTTCAAGTGCCCATCAGCCCCAAGTGACTAGTGGTTACCATGTTGGACAGCACAGGTCTAAAGCAGTGCTTCTTAATTTTAAGTTCAGATACACATGGAAATAATATTCATATAGCCCACTGGAGTGAATGGGTAGGATGGCTCGTAGCCAACAGCAGCTGCCCCCGGGGCTCAGGCTGCATTGTTCCTACTCAATTACCCTGAGTGCTGAGGGCATCTGTAACTCGAACCCTGTAACACTGGTATGCCAGTTGGCAATCTCTGGTCTACAGCAGTGGTTCCCAGCCTCTTCAAGTGATAGACCCATTGAGCCTCCTCCCATGATAGTGATTGTACTTTTATAACCAATTCCTTTACTATATAGATAGCAGTTAGATACTAGGTAGGCGATAGATCAGATATATATGTTTTATATATATATAATATAAATATATATATAATATAAATGTAACATGTAAATATATATATACTGTTTATATATGCTATTTACTATTTACTATATATTATATATACTACACATACTATATATACTTTGTACTGTCTATACTATATATATTATAGCAGATAGATACCAGATAGATGATAGATATGTATGTTTTATATATAAAATATAATATAAATATACAGTATTTATTATATACACCCACTATATATATATATACATGATTTGTAAAGAGATATATTATTAAAATAATACTTTTTTCCTTTTTTTTTTTTTTTGCTTTTCACAGTTTCTTTACGTTTTCTCAGTGTGTGAGCAGACCTTCCATCACCAGTAAATGAGAACTTAAACAGATCCTGTAACTTTTCAGTTTAAGGCAGTAATCCTCAACAGGGAGCAATTTCCCCTCCCCCCCCCCCAAGGAGACATTTGGCAATGTCTAGAGACATTTTTGATTGTCATAATGAGGAGAGGGTCCTACTGGCCTATTGTGAATAGAAGCCTGAAAGGCTTCTCAACATCCTACTCCTGCACAGGACAGCCCCCTATTACAATAAAGAATTGTCTAGCTTAAAATGTCAATGGTGCCAGGATTTAGAACCCTGCTTTAAGGTAATAGAAAATATTATGGTCCAGGTAACTGGCAAGTATTATCTCAATTCGCTATTTAATAGTACCTAATCCCATGTGATAAACAAGACTTTGAACTTAATTTAAAACTAAAATTCCAGGGGTGCCTGGTGGCTCAGTCGGTTAAGCGTCTGCCTTCAGCTCAGGTCATGGTCCCAGGGTCCTGGGATGGAACCCTACATCAGGCTCCCTGCTCAGGGGGGAGCCTGCTTCTTCCTCTCCTCCCCACTCATGCTCTCTCTCGCTGTCTCTGTCTCTGTCTCTCTCAAACAAATAAACTAATTAAATTAAATTAAAACTCCACTCTTCAGCTAGCTGGGAGGAAGGCAAGATGTTTTCCTCTTTCTGTCCTTAGCTTTACACTTTACTCCAAATCCCCATCTTGCTAACATGTTTGCAACTACTTTGTGGTCAAAGCTAGGGGCAGGAGGATGCAAAAATGTTCTTATTTGACCGCCATAAGAAGGTTTCTCACACTCTGGGCCAGGTAGACTTTTATAGCAGACGTTTTCCTGGAGGCACTTTTGTGGGTTCTTTGGAGACCCCATAAGGAACATTTGACTTCAAGTCCTCTAATTCAGGCAATTAATTTTCTTCCAGTTGCATGTCTCTCCTGTCTCTCTCTTTTTTTCTTCTGAGATCCTCAGAAGGGGCTAGGATGGTTCATGTCTAGCTCTCATACAACGATAACTTAGCAAATGTTTTATACCCCCTAGCTACTGAGCTCTTGATATTTTTTTTTCGCTTTCCATTCTTTCACCAATACTCCAATAAATAAGAATACCAGATAAAATTCTTATGAGACTGTTCCCATATCCAACCTTGACCTTGGACAAGTTACTTAACCTCTTTGTCTCAGCTTCTTCATCTCTAAAATGGGTAGAATTATTTTACATACCTCAAAAGATCATTGTGAGTGTTGATCCAACAAATACTGAGTGAACATTTACATTACATGCTAAACAATGTTTGAGGTATTGGGGAGACATTAGTGAACAACATTTAGACAAGTTTACAAAAATCCCTGCCCACAGGGAGCTTACATTGCAGTAGAATTAAGTTAAATCATGTTAGATGCTTAGGAAAGTATCAAGCATGTAGTAAGGTCTCAATATATTTTACATACATCATTGTTAACCCAATTGAATGATTGGCTTATTCTGAAATATGATTTAAGAGGAAAAGAGTCTCTACCTACTTAAGAAAGTGCCCCCAATCCTCTCATTATGTCAACAATTGGGTTAGGACAAGGGAGGGCCCTGTCAAGATCTATTTATCTATAAGAGACAATGAATTCTTACCAGTCACTAATAATAAGATACCTTGAATGTATTTAGACTCAATACTTAATGAAGGTCCAGACCTTAAGTGTTATGTTCATCATGGAATTCACAGCCTTTAGCGTGGAGGCTGATGATCAGTAAACATTCAGCTAATATTTGTTCAGGAATGAATTTGACACACACCTAAGTTTGAAGATAGAGCTTAGGATAGGAAGCTGAGGATAGGGGGCCAGTGAAGACATGGAAAAAGTCTAAGCAAATTTGTTTCGGAATTTCACCTAGAACTGATGGTAATTTCACATCAATAAGAAAAATAAGAAGTATCTGCTTCAGAAAAAGAAATCACTTTGAGTTAACATAAAAAAAGAAGATTGACAAAATTATTTGGGCCGGCAGGATGTTGGAAAATGCCTGAATTACCTACAGGCAGTATAGAATCATAATTAGTTGAAATGAACAAGTCTAAGAGTTTTTTCCTTTAATTTAGATGAATTTTTCTTTGACCTTAATTCTGTGTATAGATACAGATAGGTGGAATTATGCAGATAAAGGTTATGTTAAATCTGAGCAAATGAAAGTGAAAATAAATTGTGAATGTATAGAACTAACCACATTCTCATTGCACATTCATGTGGCAACGGAGCTAATATTTTCATACAGGCAAATTTTTACTCATACTCTGTGTCTAAACAGAAGGGCTTGAGCTATTAATTCCGGTATTTCCGTAACTACTGCTTTCTATTCGTATTTGAATAAAGTAATAATCATAAAGGAGAAATTTACCAAAATCTTTTTTTTTTAATCTCCAGTGTTCAGACTGCAACATAGTGCTTCCGATACAAGTGACAAAAACCGAGTTAAAAACAGATTAAAGAAGTTTATCACCCGAAGACCTTCCCTGAAAACTCTGCAAGAAAAGGGACTTATTAAAGGTATAGGACGTCTTATACTTTTACTGTAACAGTGATAAATGAATATGCCTCTGTGTCCGTAGCTATTCAGCTCTAAAGAAATATTAGGATATTTTATTCTTTTTAGGTTGCTTATTGAATGTTCTGCTCTACAACAAAGAAAAAAAAAAACTGTTGTCCAGAAAACTAATCCTGAGAAAATAAAGTTTGTAGCACAGTATCATTGAAAACAATACCTAGTTTTGCCTTCAGTGGAGCTGGGCTCTGCCCCAGGGAGCAGAGGAAGGTATCCTAGTGGCCCATTAGAATGAACCCATGTCACCATGTGCCTGGACAATACAGGTGCACACCTATTGTCCCAACATGCTTAATAACAGCAGCCCTTTTCACTCTCAGATGTGGCCTGATTTGGATAATAAGTTACCTGATCACCTTAGTCATAGTCTGAAGTGAGTGCAAGGAAGAAAGTCCAAGATAAACTAGTGTCATGAAAATTTATGGATTTGGGAACTGGGGAACTAAAAGCTCAATCTAACTTGAAATAAGTAGGTACTTTTGCAAATGTATCTAAAGTAAAGAACAACATATTCTAGACTACCCTAGTCACCACAATAGAAAAACATAGACTCTGGCACTAAGACTAATCAGAATTCAGACCTTGGTTCTACCACTCACTCATGTTGACATTGAACAAGTTATGACCTCTCTGAAGATCAGATATCTCATCTGTTAAATGGGGATACTTACACCCACCACTGAGAGGTCCATTGAGAGAAACATGAGATAATCCATGTAAAGCATTTAATAGAGTTTCTGGAACATAAGTATTCAATAAATGTTCTCTGCTCTTAATGCTATTATTATTCACTACCACCATTTCTCTTATGGCGCCAAGGGGATGAGAAAGAATGAATGGATACATAGAACCCGTGATAAAGTAGATTTCTATAACTGGAAATCACTTATAAATCACACAGGTAAAATGTATTATTTTCCTAACAAGAAACCATATGCATCAAGTCCATTGTTTCCCCCCCACCTTTTTTTAAATTTTCTAGCAGATAGATATATTTTGAAAAGTGAATATAAGAAGAAATTAGAAAATGGGCTAAGATACCCTTCTAAGATTAATTCTGAGAACAAAACTGGAAGATTGATCCTTATGGGAGTCAAAAGGTTATTTAATACCCAGTCATTTCTCAGGAACAGGGCAAAACAGATCTTAATATTTTCAGCAATACTTAGCATAAGAATTATTTAGATGGGTTATAATAACTGTCTGACCTACCCATTTCAGTCCATTTTTAAGCAGGAGAAGTTACAACAAGAATCATCTGGCATTTTGAACCAATTGTGGAAGGTGAAGTTTTATGAAGCATGAACATACATATCACTAATGAAGTGGAAAATTCTTAGAATGTAAACATTTGGGGGTCGAACTAGCACTTGCTTTGAATCAGGCTTTCCTCAGACTTTTACACTGAAGATGTCCTTTCCAGGGCCACTGACAGTTTTGGATCCTCTAGAGATTCAACTTCATATAATAAGATACCAATACCTTCAGTTCTGTCTGAGAATGCACCCCATCGGTTATCATTTTCTTTGAGAGGATTCTGTTGCAGGTTATCTGCCACTTTGGAAAAAATAGAAAACCAAATTAGTAGCCCAAACAATCCCAATTTGACAGAAAGTCCAAATTTTTCATGACTATGGCAAAATGAAAAGGGTTTTAATTCAGTGGCAGGGTCTGGCCCCAGTCAAAATGCTAAAGAATTCGCAACTACAGTGCTCCAGCAGTGGTCTCAGAAAGCAGCGGAGGGCCTGGATGCCTCATGCAGTTTTCATACCGACGTCATGGAAGCACTGAACACACTCCGATGTGTACATTTCCTATCTTAGAGCTCCATTAAATTTCCACCATAGCTGACCAATGAGTCAGTATTCATTAGTAGGGCTATGGAAAATCTATGTGAAATTCTGATTTGATAAGCTTCCATTGTTGTCTTCAGTGGAATTTTCTTCCAAATACAGATCAAGTTATGCAAATATAATCACTTCTTGGGCTTGTTTCAGTTTTAACTGTGAATTTTTAAAAAGCGTTTACTGATTTTTTTTTCTCTTCACTGAGTAAAAAGCATTAAAACAATTTTTAAAAATATAAGCCCAGTCAAATTTAGAACTTTAAGTCTATTTTCTCAGCATACTTAAGTCAAAGACTTTGAAAAAGCAATGAAATCGGTGTTTTTGATCAGTTACGAAAAATTATATAAAATCAATGAAAGATTAATGGTTAAATGGTTTCTCCAAGTGAAATGACTTAACTCTGTCAAGAAGAATTACTCAGAAAGAGAGAGAACAGTCTTTAAAATTGTCCTCAGGGTACCTGCCCACAAGAATATATACCAAATTCTTTCAACTGTCTTATCTGCTAGATTTGGAATAAAGTCCTTCACAACAAGGTTTCGGAAAGCTGGGGTGACAGTTGGTGTCTTAAAAGTGTGCTTCCTGTACCTCTGAAACAAATAATACATTATATGTTAAAAAAAAAAAAAAAAAGAAAATAGTAGGAAGGGAAAAATGAAGGGGGGGAAATCGGAGGAGGAGACAACCATGAGAGACTATGGACTCCAGGAAACAAACGGAAGGTTCTAGAAGGGAGGGGGTGGGGGAGGGGCTAGCCTGGTGATGGGTATTAAAGAGGGCACGTATTGAATGGAGCACTGGGTGTTATACGCAAACAACAAATCATGGAACACTACATCAAAAAAAATAAATTAATAAAAAAAAAAGTGTGCTTCCTGACACCTGGGAGAGACTCTGCAGGGCCATAGCCCCTTTCAAACAGTTTCTTACACCTTTATGTAATGTTGCCAACAGGTTGAGAGGCCTGAGCTTTGAATTCAGCCAGCCTTTGGAGCAGGAAGAGCTGTGCCTTCTTGACTTTATAATGCCCAGCAGAACAATATCCACAAAGTACTTTATGTGAAAAGAGAATTGTCCCGATACCACACTGTCTGGACTCAGACACAAACCCTTCCTTCAATATCTGTTTTTTGGACTCATGGAGACCTGGCCAATATGTGATTTCATTGGCTGGAAGCTAGATCTGGAAACAGTCCCTTGATGGGGCTGCATCTTCTACTTTCTTTAATATGACTAATGAGAAGTGTACATTATAATGTCAAAAAAGGCCCAGCCGATAGTTATGGATGATCACTCAATGGAAAGAAATCTTAATAGCTCAGGTGTGTGTAGGGTTCATTGCACCATGGTAGTGGTGGCTTCTGAAAAGCCTGCAATTTCTCCAGGTGCTTTCACATTTGCCAAGGGAGTGGCAAGTGCCTTTTAAATGTGTGAGTTTATTGCATTGAGCATCTCATCAGAAATAAAACTTGAATCTGTTGAATATGTAAATGATAGGCAAGAGGGTACATTTTAGGGTGGTAGGTGTGTTTGTACATATTTTCTGCTTGGTTTTGGAACTGAAGTAACAGCTCGTTATAAAGTGTCAGCCAAACTACCTTATATAATCTTTCAAATAACAGCACTGACATCCAAGAATAGAAAACACTCGGCAATGCAATTTCTAGAAAGGATAACAATTGGTTTTTTTTGTTTTTTTGGTTTTTTTTAAGAGCAACTAGTATTTCCTTATATAAAAATGATAGAATTATAGAGGATTGTGTTTAGAAAGTAGTTTCTTTCATCTTCATGTGGATAAAACCATAATGGATGGTATTAGTAGAAATTGAAAGTAATTCTGTACTACTTTATTTTGTAATCACTATATTATAAAGGAAACAACCTGTTTAAAGACTCAATATTATGCTTCCAGGACTTAGGATGAAAAGCAGGGCTTTCCTGCCTCATCCCAGTTTTGCTCCTTATGGGGCACCACTTGGCACCATTTCTATTTGTAGAATAGTAGTTCTGGTGGTTGACTCCATAACTTATGTTACTATTATTTGGGGTAGAGGTCAGTTTTTGTCAATATCTTCCTTATCTTTAAAGTCATAACGTCTTGACTTATCAAGCTTAGATGTTATCTCAGATTTCTTTTACGATGGACATGAATTTGACTTGATTAAACCAGACCTCACTTTCCTCCCCAAATACTCACAGTCAAATAGAGCAGGTCTTGCTCTTTTCGATGGCTTTCTCTGGAACATCCAATGTACTTGAATCTCTATTTACTGTTCTAGTAACCATGGAAAACTGAGACTTAGTGTCTGCATCGAGGAGACAAGAAAGACAAGAAGTTTAGTGTCCTTTCCCCTCTCATCTCCTCTGCCTTTGCTATTGTAATTCTTACTTCTACATCATAAAAAACTCATTATTTCACAGATTTCTATAATTATGACTCATTTATAGGTTGATTCTAAAAGTTAAAAACCAAAACCAGTGATCGTACAATTACAATTATATAAGATTGCTTACTGCAGCTCCAAGTACTAGACTTTGTTCTCTGTTCTTATAATATGACCTCTGTGATCTGTAAAGAGGAATCCCCCTTGATCATGATGAAAAAGACTCTCTTTTTTTTTATATTTGAAGGTTGCTTTGGTATATTTATGCTGTTTCACCATCACAATCAGGTCCTTCATTTCCTCCCCACATTTTGGATCTAAATGTGAAGAAAATCAGGCAGCTGCATTTACTTTATATTGATCATGTAAATATTATGGAATCGCTAACCAAGTCACGTGCCAGATTTGGATTAACATATCCATGGGTTCAATGTTATGACTTAATGGGCCACACAACTTACAATGTTCTTATTTTTTTTAAGTTTTTATTTTAATTTCAGTTAGTTAACATGCAGTGTTATATTAGTTTCAGGTGTACAATATAGAAATTCAGCCCTTCCATACATCGCCCTGTCCTCATCACAAGTGCCCTCGTTAATCCCCATTACCTATTTCACCCATCCCTCCACCCTCTGGTAACCATCAGTTTGCTCTCTATAGGTAAGAATCTATTTCTTGGTTTGTCTCTCTTTCTCTCTCTCTTTATAATATTCT